CTTGCCAATAATTTCAACAATACAAATTTCCTTGTATTCATACCTGCGCTGCCATTCTCAAAACTCACCACAATTTGGGCTAAAAAGTTTTTTTTTAATTTTGGCTGGAACTTGATAATTCCGGCCAGAATTACACCTGACACTCTAGCTAACCCACTCACCCACCCCAAATCAGCTGATTTCTGGAAGCCCCCATACAGTATTTGTATATCTCTAGTATAAAGCTTCACTTTATCAAATAAATTTTCTGATTAGATCATCTGGACTCCTAAACGATGTATACAGCCAACCTCGATATTACATGAAGTAGCACGATCTATAAACAAAACAAACCAGACACATGATCGCAGTTTGCTAGAACTGTTCAGATTTGGGAGATATAAACAATGACGATCTTTTGAAGAAAGTAGGCCATTTTGCCCACTTTTGTAGAAAATTTTGAAAGAGCAGCAAGGAGGTGGAGAAAAGAGATAAAACCACTTTGTTTTGTTTAATAAAGGAATATATATATTTTTTACTTAACACACTGAATTTATAGAAAGGTGCAGATACTTTTTTTATTTTTTTGGTAAGTGATAAACTTTGGGCTTGTCAGCAAATAGCATATAAAAACTATTTCTAAACAATAAGTGTAGCCCCCGTGGTGAGTAATAAACTTTAAGAAAGTTGGCAGGTAGCATATGAGAACTACTTCTAAATAACAACTGCCAAGTTATGAAGCTTAAAAACTATTTCCCAAACTGTTTCTATCTTTACAGATGCTTGTATTTTTTAAGAATTTTTAGATTTTTGTAGTAAAAGTAATCATCAGGAAGAGTTGTAAAATATATACATCTTTATTAATAAAATAAAAATTAAAATAAGTTAATATATAAGCTTGAAATAAAAACAAAAGATATAAAGATTATTTGAATAATAATATAATATCAGATATTAAAAGGATATATATTATTTTGAAGTAAATACAGATATGATTTTAGAATTTAGTAGAGTTTGTAATTCTAAATTAAGGTTCTCAAATTTCTGTGTTATCCTATGTTAAAGTTAGAAATATCAGATTATTTAGTATAGTAAAAAAAAAAATAGATACTGCAGTACTATATTTTTAGCATCTCTATACTATATAATTCTGGTCATCCACACTGCTATAATACTGTATCTAGTATTGGGCTAACATCAGAAACTTATCAGAAATTCTAAAATTACACTATATAATTTTTTAAATAATGCTATACCAAGTATTTTATGAAAGACAATAAGTTAAATTAATATGAATAAATAAAATATAGTAAATTTTATAATCTCACTTTAAATACTTAAATTAGTAAGATCTCTTATACTTACCGAAATAAATAATTTTAATATATATGCATTGGAAATATAATTAATGTTTATAGATTTGGATAATTTATGTTCATATACAAACAAATAAAATTAAGTATATATATAATAATATTTGTTACAGAACTTATATATCATTCTGGTGAGCAAAGTATGAAGTTGAGGTGAGATATTATGAATTTTATCAGTAGGTCTAGCATAGAACTTACTATTTGTCATAAAGATAAGCTAGTTTGCATTAAGATTATTATAAAGTATTGTAAAAAATTTTAATGCAAAACTTACTTGCAAAACATAGTTAAAGTTAAGATAGTTCATATTAGAATAAGCTATTGCTATTTTTATTGAGCTACGATTAAAAAGTTCAGCTACAAAACTTATTTGCTATTTTAATAATAGTATAAATAATATTATAAATCACTATAAAATATTTTTATAGAACTTGCTTTATGATATATAGTACAGGTTAAAAATAAGTTAGCTTGTATTAATATTATAATATATAATAAAAAAAATACTCTTACTTGTTATTTCAATAATACACAGTATCTCTTAAGCTGTAGAGTTTGTATAACAATTTTAGCTTAAAAATAGCATAAATTTAGTTATGACTAGTTGTAAACCTGTACAATAATGTACAGGAATAAACTTATAAAATTTTTAAATATAATTTTAAAATAAAATAAATATATAGTAAAATTTTATAATTATTAAGCTATAAATCTGTGTTATGTATAGAAAAGATTTAATATAAAATAATTAAATCTAAAACAAATTTTTTTTTTTTGATAATTATATCACAACTTTATTTTAATATAGATTTTACATTTTTTCTAAAATGTGATTTTTATTTATAGCTATGCTATTTTTAAACCTAAAGTGTGGCTTACCCAGTTACCTATTGGCATCTATATATGACTTGCTAAAGTAGAATTAGCCTCGCTGCTTCTTTTCAATTTACCGTAGATCTTGAATACATAGTTCATCAGTCAGGATCTACAGCCTATCATGATTTATTTTATATTTTATTTCAACTAGACCACTTGCTGGTCCATACTCATTTATTTACTTTTTCTAATATTATGTCTAGATCTTCTTTAAACTTATTCCACTATTTTGCTTTATTCCTTTTTTCTATATTTTTATTTTCATTCATAGATGGTGAATTTTCTAGATCTTTTGTATTTTCTCTTTGATTTAAGGCTGCTCGGAACACTTCTCTTTTTTTTTTTTTTTCTTGAAGTCAATATGTAGTTCTTTTTTTTAGTTTGCTACTTTATCATATTTTTGTAGCCAAATTATATCTTGGAAAAATATGTGCCACTTGTCCCACTATTCCAATATTATTGCCTCTGAGTTTTATTTTGGAATACCTATCAATTGAAATAATGTTGTCACTTCTGTCTCAATTAATCCTCTTGCTATTTTCTTTCTTTTCTGTAGGTTTTCTTCTTTTTTTCTACCTATAAGAGCTTGTTGCAGAATGTTTGGGGAAAGCTTCTTCTTTATATGTGTATCTATGTTGTTCCAAATTTCTTTTGCAATTTCTTGCTCTTTATCTAACCACTTTGCTATATCAGTCTCGCAAGTAGATAGGTGGTTAAAGTCCTCTTCCTTTTGTCTACACTTTTTACAAATTGCTAATAAGTAGAGATCTTAATAGTTTCTTTTACAAGTAATAAGTGTGGAAAGTAATTTGTTTAAGCTTTTGAGCCTAAAACTCTATCTTTTGTTTGATCTAAAGGTCCTTCACTTTTCTTTCTTTTCTTTAGAAAAGTGCAGTAAATTACATAATTAGGGTTTATATAGATTATACTCCTCTCTCCCCCTAGTGATAAGGCTATTGACCAATCAAATTTTATTTTTTATAATATTTAAAATATATAAAAAATTATAAAATTTAACAACTTTCAGCTATAAATTTCTAAACAACTACTAATCCAAATTGAATAGAATTTTTTTTGCAAATATATATGATATTTGGCTATAACATATTAAAATTTTATACAATTTGGATTAGTAGTTCTTAAGAAATTGCTTAAAAACTATAAACAATTATTTTTTTTATTTTATTTTTTTAAGGTGAGATCTTGTCTCATGTTATTTTATTAAGTATATACATATATTATAAACAATTATTTTAATTAAATTATATATGATTTTTTATTAATTTCTCAAAAACCACCAATTCAAATTGGCTGAAATTTTAATATGTTGTAACATCATATTATAACTACAGTATCTACAATAAAAATTTTATCCAATTTGAATTAGTAGTTGTTGAGAAAATTACAGCTGGAACTATATATATATTTATAATTTTTAAAATTTTTGCTATATTTTTTAAATTTATATTAATATTTAGCAGTTATCTAGCTGTAATTTTCTCAAGAATTACTAATCTAAATTGGATAAAATTTATACTGTAGATAAATATGATATCTGGCTATAATATATTAAAATTTTAGCTAAATTAAATTTGTAGTTCTTGAGAAATTACTTAAAAACTAGAGGAAATTACAAATAAGGGCCCAAAAAATCTAAATAATTACGGATAGGGGCCCAGATTAAAAATAATTATTTATTAGGGCCCGATTTTTAAAATTTATTACAAATAAAGGCCCAAAGTACAAATTAATTTTACTAGGGCAATAAATATTTATTTATTACATAGCTCAAGAGCATATTCTATTAGAATTACATAACTCATAATAGCATATTCTACGTATTAACATTATAAAAGAAATAATTCTTTACGATTACTATATTAAGCTTTTTTTTGTCATCGATTGCAAGTATGTAAATTATGACCTTTTGTATCACATTTGCTGCAAGTAATTTGATTCTTAATTGCAGTTTCTTCACGACTATGCAAACAAGTTTTTTATGGTTGGCCTGCTTGCTTTATTGTTGCTGGTAGTAATGTTTGGTTATTGAGAAAACACATTTTTATATCCACAGGTTGAACCGATTTTTTATAAATCTTTTGAAGAGTAGCAGTGTGGTATGTAAAATATGCAAATTGTGGTGAGTTTTGAGAATGGCAGCGCAGGTATGAATACAAGGAAATTTGTATTGTTGAAATTATTGGCAAGTGCAGGTTGATAATGTAAGATCTACAACACGAAAGTTATCATTATTGCTTTTTACTTCAAAAACTGATTCATTAGCTTGATACACCATTTGGTTATGACATTTGTCAATAACAGATTGAAGTTGTTGCATAGTATTTGGTAGTAAAACTGTATTCACTGAAGAATATAATATGCGATGATTATAGTAGAGTGTGTTGACATTCGTATAAGTAAAAATATTGTATCAAATGGTTCTATAAGATATTTATCATGTAACCAGAAATTAAAGGATTTAAAAACATTTGATGTAAGATGTCCAAATCTATTTTAAGGACATTTGCAAAGAGTCTATGTCTCAGGAAGTATCTTATTAAGATAAACTGCAGCTTTTACATACAGATCTGAAATTTCTTCCATAATTTCATTAAAACTTTCTATATGCAATGATTTTGCCACAGCCCAAATTTTGCTTCCTAGCTTCATTCAAAATTTTGTGTTGATATTTTTTTTAATATACTATACGCAATGTGTGTGAAAAGCATTAGGAAGTTTCATCTTTACTGTATTTGCAATACCCTACAATAAAATTAGTTTATTATACTATATAAGATAATAATACAATACAAAGTTTTAGATAATATAATGATACCTTTTCATGGTCACTAATAATTACTGATTCATTTGAATTCATTATTGGAAGAGCAGTATATAGGTTCTCACAAAACCACATCAGAACCAATAGCAAATACTATAGAAACAACTTTTCCTTCATCTTCAATTGTGCTTGCACAAAAATAAACACTCTTATAACTTGATTTTAAATGGCATGTATCAAGAGTATACACAGTTCTACAATATTCGGCAGTCTTAATCCATAGTTATAAACAAAGAAATGCATGAAAAAATCAATCTTCAGCATTAGTCTCAAATGAAACAATACTTCCTGAATTCACTAAAAGTAAATGATCAAGTAATGGTTTTATACATTGATAACTTTTGTCAATTTCCTCTGTCTTGCATTTTTTATTAGCAACCAGGCTTCTTCATGCTGCCATATATGATGCTTCAGCCCCCACCTCTGAATGAACACAATTTATGATATCACGAGGTTTGAGCGCAGCAAAATCTTCAATTAATGGCACAAAAAACTTTTTAAGATATGATCTATGTGCTTTAAATGTTTGTGTAAATGTTGGACAATTTTGATTGTATTGAATTAATTTCACAATGTGAATATAACTATCTTTACGTTTATTAGCAAATAAGGTAAACAGGCATGTACTGGTATTATATGTAGGACAGATGACAAGAAGCTTGCTTGGTTTATTAGTTATGAATTTATATAGTAAAGAAGTTTCAACAGAGTAACTATCTAAAGCTAATTGAACATCATCTATTTTTGTAAATATCATACCAACATGCAGGATTGTATATAATATAATGATAGTGAATTGCAGCAATAAACAAAAGAAGATGGCTTTAACTAGATACAAGAGAAAAAAATAGTTTATTAAATTAACAAATTTCCATTTATAATGAAATTATTAAATTACATCATTTTTTATATACACAAATTTTGGGCCCTTATTTGTAATAATTTTTAAAAATTGGTTCCAATAAATAATTATTTTTAATCTAGGCCCCTATCCGTAATTATTTTGATTTTTCGGGCCCTTATTTGTAATTTCCCCTAAAAACTATATACGTTTTATATAACAAAATTATATATAGTTTTTAAGCAATTTCTCAAAAACTACTAATTCAAATTGCATGAAATTTTAATATATTATAGCCAGATATTATATTTATTTACAGTAAAAATTTTAGCTTATTTGGATAACTGGTTGTTGAGTAATTCAAATATAATATTAAGATTTTTAATATAAAAAATACTTTAATATTATTGGCTATTTGACTATATATGTATATATAGAACGTGATAAAATGGGGACCCCCCTTCCCCCCTAAAAAATTACGTGATTTTCTGCACTTCCCTTGCTTCACAGACTTTTGAAGATTTTTCAATCCTGTTTTATAGATCTTTGCTAATAGATCGTGTCTTTAATCTTGCTAGCAAATAACCATTCAACCTTGTGAAATATATAAGTAATTTTCTTTAAAAAGCTATATTGGCCTAAAGATTATACCCTGGGTCTTATTTATACTAATATTCATTGCTTCTATTTTATTGGAGCCTTTTTTTGCTATCTTATTTGCTAAATCATTTAATATATTACCTGTATGAGCTTTAACTTTAAAGAGCTGTATATCTAGATTCTTGGAGTTTATATTTTTGGCAATGGCTTCTAGTATGTTTAGGTTTTTAATTTTGTACAATGATTTTGTGCTTTTAGTTTTTTCAATTCTTTTTATTACTTGAATTGCTGCTTGGCTATCAGTAAAGATATTTATCTTGCAGTTAGTTGATAAAATTAGCAATACTCCAAAATTGCTATAAGTTCTAATCTAGTTGACGAAAACCACTCTTGAATTCTACTTTTTAGTTTTTTTATTATACTACTTTTCTCATCTATTTGTATTATACTATATTCTGCTTTATAATCTTCTACCTCTTCTCCTTCTTCAAGTAAGCTATCTGTATAGTATGCTATTTCTTTATATACATGGTTTGCTTTTACTACTTGTATTAGTTTCTGTTGTCTAAGCTTATTTTTTATAGTATTTTTCACCAAGCATGTTTTCCAATTTTCTATATAAATTTGATATGCTATTTCAGTTTCTTCTTTTCCATTCTGGTCTTTTTCTTCTGAGACAACCAGATTCTTGAAATATTTTAACCTGATAGATGCAGCCTAGCCATCTTCATTTTTTCTCTTAATCTATAAGCTTATATCTTCTATATCACTTTTTTTTGCTATTAAAATATTGGATGTGAGAACTACTTTTGGATTAAAGAAATTATATGAGTTGAATTTTCTTTATTTCCTTCTTTCTATTTTAATATTTGAATCTTTTTACTTAAAAATTTTTTTTAAACTCTTCTAATGAAGCAGGAGTTGTTTTCTTTTTTTATTTTTAAAACACATTCTTTTTTTGATTTCTTGTATGATATTTTTCTCTTTTTTGTTCTTATTTGTTTTTTATTTATTGCATTTTCTTGTATTAAGGACTCTTTAACTTTTCAAGAGATTCAGTTTGTAATTATCGTCTCTTCTAATCTTTGAAACCAAAGAGGTACACATCCCATTGTTAATATATTCTGTACTCTACGAACTTGCTACCAAGTAAGCATAGTATTGTTAAAATTTGAAACTATCTGTTTTAAATACCAGACATTCAATTTTTTGAGGCTTAAGATCAGATTTCTTTTGTGAATTAGCTCTTTTAGCTTATTTATTAGACTATTTCTTGGAGCTATATTCTAACTTTTTTTCTAGTTAAGGTTTATAATATCAATCTTTAATTCTTTTGCTGCTAATAGTATAGTTGTGTTGAGATTGTTTTTTCATTTGTAGAGCTTTATTTCTTCACTTGATAGAAGCTATACTGGCTTTGTAAATCTAAAAGTGAGCTAAGCCTCTTTTAGCCACATTCTGGTGAGATCGCCTACTAAATTCGGGTTATTTATTCTTACCACCTATTCTATAATTATGTACTCTGTATAATATTGCTATAAAGAATTAATTCCTTATATATCTCTTTGTGTTGGGATAGAATTTGATGCAGTTGAGACCATTTCTGCTTTTTATTTTGCAACTCGTAAAATTGGCTAGTGCAGTTTTTTGCATTCTTTTTTGGTAAACATTATTGTATTAAGTTTATATTTAGCTCAGGAAGAATTACTATATTGTTTATATATTTTACATATTCTATTGAGATCTTTTTTCTAAGTAGCAAGTTAGCTATTTGTTTGATTTTCTGGTCTAATTTTTTCATAATTACTTACTTGGGTTCTGCAGATATAAGCCAAACCCCAAGTATCTTGCAACTTTTTTTTTCTTTTTTGCTACTATTTTCTTCTTTCTATTTTTTATGTCTATAAACTTTTCTTTTGTCTTGTTTTTTGGGTTTATAACTAAGAGCTCAGTTTTTTTCTCATTAATTTCAATATTGTTTAGTCTGAAGAAAGATTCTGCTATTTCAATTAAAATTTATATGTCTAATTTGGAATTTGCTATAAAAGCTATATTATTTGCATATATGAGTCCTACAACTTGTAGATTTTTTTCCTTGTATTTCCCCATATCAAGTCTATAGGCCATTAAATTTTGGCTTTCGCTCCATAATTACAATTTTGAAGTTTACACAGCAAGGGGTCAAAGTAAATTTTCTATAAAAGAGAGGTGATTACCTCTTCTTGATTTATTCTTCTTTTGCATAAAAGCCTTTTGTTAATTTGAATTTTGTGAGTACTTTAATTTTTCGATTTGTAAATAAATTGATTAAAAACTTTTCTAATTTTTTTAGAACTTTAATTTGCTTCAGTGCGAGTTGTAGTTTTTTAAGATTAACTATATCCAATGCTTTCCTAATATCAATGAGTATTATCTATATCTCTTTGTTCTCTTGTTTTGCTGTCTCGATTAAAGAATTTATTATGTGGATTAGTTCTTGGATGTATTTTTTTTGGAGTTTTGCAAAGTTAGGTTCTCTCAGAATCTTGTGGGCCTTTTTTTTGTTGCTTTGAGGAGTATTATAGGTCTAATGTTTTCTAATTGTAGGTCTCATTCTGCCAGCTTTGGTATTGGGAAGATTATACCAATTTTTCATTTTTTTGGTATTATTTTCTCCTCTATGATTAAGTTTAAGAGTTCTAGAAAAATCTTTGTTGCCTTTTTTTCTGGTTTTTTTAGAATTGTATACCTGATATTTAACAACTCTGAAGCTGAGTTGTTAGAGGTTTTTTGAAGCATTTCTTTCTATTCATTTTTTTCTTGATTTTATTATACATGCCATCATACTACTTTTTTTTAACATAATCTAGAGATTCATATTCTAATTGCTATACTTTTTTTCTCTTTGCTTGAGTTAATATCAACCTCTTTGAACTGCTTTGCGAAGTGTTTATTAGCTGCTTATTTAACTTCTTTTGGTTCAAAAACTAGTTCTTTCTTCTCATTTACTTGATCTGTTGTAACTAAAATTTTTTCTATCTTTAGTTTATTCCATAGTCTTTCAAGAATGCTATTTAGCATATTCTTCTTGTACTGTCTAACTATTCCAAATCTTCTCTTTTATTTTCTTGTCTTGCTCTGTTCTTTGCTCTAAGATTATTTTCTTTTTGATTACTTTTATCCACCCCTTGAGGTCTTTTATCTATTGCTTAGTCTAGCGATTTTCAACCTCTCTGATCTTAGTTTCATTATTAAGATTTACTTAATTTATTTGGGCATTTAATAGCTATTGATTTTCTGGTTCAATTCTATTATTTAAGTTTTTTATTCTTTTTTTCCCTATGCTTCTAAGTTGTTTGATCCATTTATATTTTGGATTCTAGATAATTTGCTTTTGTTTTTCTTCTAGAATATTATTAATTTTCTTAAAGAGAACCATTTTGTTGGCTGCCAGTGTTATGCAATTAGCAAACTTTTCCTAACCTTCATTTATTAAATACTCTGTTGCTGAGAGGTGAGTTTCTACTTTTTCTTTTTTGCTTTGTTTTGTTCTTCTTCTAGGTATTTTTCTAAAAGTAGTGTAAACTTTTCTCAGTCTTTATTAGATATTTTGTTATAAAGATATATTTTGCACTGACTAGAGTATTTTCTATAT